TTTTTAAAAATCTTTTTGTAGTTGTATATGGAAAGGATGCCTTTACTTTATTTGTACATGGTGCTAAGGATCAAACCCAGTGCCTCACACTTGCTGGGCAAGCGCTCTGCCACTGAGCTACAGCCCTAGACCTAAATGGCCACTCTTTAGTCAAAGATGTGGTGGTGAAAGAATGAGGATATTCATGATATAGAAAATGTTCACTCATGATCAGAAAATATTCCCAAATGCTGCAGAGAAGTAATGATGAAAGCAAACATCAATCCCAGAACAACATTAAAATTACAGAGGGGGTTAATAAACTATATTCTTACTTGTTGATGTCAATAATATGGCAAAATATTACCCTTTTGCTATAGCTTTCCACTTACTAAATTAAATGTCAATGTTTTTATTGCTTTGGAATCATCTATGATCTTCTGTAAGTTAGGGGCCATTGTTAGAAACAAACATGGAAGAGCTCAGATTATTTCTAAGGACACCAGATTTTCACATCCGTGATTCAGAAAATATGACTAATAATGCAATGAATGGTAAAAGAATTTCTTTCACAAGCATAGAAAGTCCATATTAATTACCAAATTATTCTCAGACTGATATATCATTTCATCAATCTTGTATCTATGTACATCTGAATTAATTACTATATGTCAACACCACATTTCATATAATAAAATTTGAAATTATCTTCTAATGGAAAGTAGAAATGATAGCAGCTCTCAGAGTCTCAACCATTTGGTTTTCTAAACACTTATTACTAAGAAATTTATGAGCCAGGAGAGGGCAGTACAAAAACAAAGAGGAGAGGTACTACAAAACACGTTCAGCAAATGATAGGTTAGCACACTGAAATAGCTTAAAATTTACCAAATTCTGTGCACCCATTTTTATTAGAGCAACAAAATGCAGTGGATAAACTCTACCACTCAGGCATATATTATCAAGCTTTCAGAGCACAGTAATATGCCAAAATCATGAAATGCCACAAGCAAGTGTTCATGAGAGATTTAGACTTTAAGCAGAAGGAAAAAAAATTATTTGTTCTGTGAATTTTCTGATAAACAAAGCAACTTCCTTGTGCATTCTGTTTAAATCGAGGTGTATGGTACAACTTCGAGAACAGGATTGTTAGGATAAGAGGAGTATATGCCTACCATATAGTCATTTCTCAAACAAACATTTTTTCCTTGAAAAAAATCATATATAATTTTTCTTCTCTATCCTGTATGTTAGTCCTAGTAGATACAGCATCCAAGTGTATCCAGTTCCAGTATCTTGGATGGTTCCATGGCACCAGGGTCGAGTTATGCTTCAGTGTACCCAGGTCTAGACTTATCTTAGTAGTCCTCAATGTCACGCTGAACTACATAGACTGAGGCTCATACAACATCCCTATAGATCCAGGCTCCTGGAACACTCCCAAATTCTGGCTCAAGTCTTATCCCAGTGGTATAGGCCCTGGGAAAACTCAGTTCTAAGTCAACTTCTATGGATCCAGACTTCAGACTCTAACATGAAATTCTAGACCAATTTCTATGGACCTAGCCTCCAAGCCAATTCTCATAGACCCAGGCTCCAGATCCTTCTATGGAGATCCAGGCAATAAGTCCACCCCCAGGACCTACAGTCTAGGCCTACCCTTTGCTAACCAAATGATGAGGGAAGCCTATTTAAGAACTCCAGCAACAAGGCATCTCCCACCAACTCCCCTGACAACCGACAGCCTGCCAGAATCTCTGCACATGCTACAGGTCTTTTTCAGGCAAAGTCAGACTGCAAAGATTGAAATAACCTTCTCCTTCAAATACACAGACATTCTATTAATGAAATAAGAAACATGAAAAATTAAAGTACTTTCCCACCCCAAAACACAAAAGTCTCAAAGTAGTTGACTCAAAAGGAATAGAGATATGCAACCTAACAAAGAATTAAAAACAATCATTTTAAAGAAATTTAGTGAACTTCAAAAAATTACTGGAAAACAATAACAATTAAATGAAATTACAGAAATGATAAATGATTAAAACAGAATTTTAACAGAAAGATTCAAATTTTTAAAAACTAAATAAAACAAAGCTTAGATATGAAAAATACAATGAATTCAATGAAAAATATAGTAGAAAAATCAATACCAGAATTGATAAAGAAAAAGAATTTGTGAACTAAAATGTTATTTAGGGATGGGGATATAGCTCATTTAATAGAGTACTTGCCATGCACAAGGCCTAGGTTCAATCCGCAGCAATACTGAGAGAGAGAGAGAGAGAGAGAGAGAGAGAGAGAGAGAGAGAGGAATACAATAGAGGAAAGTTTATGGAAGTTATTGGAAAGTATTAAAAGTGAATATTTAAATTAGAGGAGTTTGTGAAGCAGAAGAGAAAGAAAAGGCAGAGTGGTTATTTAAAGAAATAGCATGAGAGTATTTTCCAAATATGGATAAAGTATCTAGGTACAGGAGGGTCAAAGTTGTCAATCACATTTAATTCAAATAGGACACCAAGACATTATTAGAAAACTGTAAAAAAAAATAAAAATTAAAAAGAAAAAGCACAAAGGGAAGAGAAAAGAAGCAAATAACACACAACGATTATCAGTAAGACTTCTCAGCACAGACCTTACAGGCCAGGAGAGAGTATTATGATGAATTCAAAGAACTGAGGGTAAAAAAGAATCTCAAACAAGAATACAGTGCCAAATAAAAATGTTCTCTAGAAAGGGATAGATAAAGACTTTCTTGAACAAGCAAAACAAAGTTCAACAATTACGTCAAACAGTTGGCAAACTATAGAAAGGCAAATTTAATGTCAACACGATGGTCATCATGAGAGAAAATTTTACTCACATAAAATTTGTAATTTTTTACATCTATAGACAATTTACACTGTATTAATAAGCATAGTCAGATATATTCATATTTTATTTATGGGATTCAAAATTTAAAAACTATAAAATATTTTCCATGATAGTGTAGGACAAAATAAGACTTATTACAACTAAGGGTATTTCTTTATTGATAGGTATATAATTAAAATCATTTATTATCTTTTGAGCAATGGGAAGAAAATCTGTATTATGAAATCACAAACCAAAAGAGAACTCAAGTTGGTCTAATAATATGAAAGAAAATGAACCTCAAAACCAAAACTACTATGTGAGATAGAAGGCAGATTACCTGAGGAAGAGAACAATTCCATAAGTCTTAAAAATCCTAAATTTTTATGTTCTCCCAAAAGTTAAAGTATGTGAACACATAAAATGTTAGATCTATAAGCAAAATACTTAAACTCAATGACAAAGATGAAGTTTTCAATAGCACTTGTTCAATAATTAATAGAAAAGCTACACAGAAATTCAACAATTCATAGATGATAATCTTTACGAAATCATCAGAGAACCTGAACTAATTAACATTTACAGAACAAAATCCCATCACCAAAAAAAGAGCACTTCTCAAATGCACTCAGAATATTCAACAATCTAGACCACAGGTAAAACAAACATCAAAATGTATCATTGTTGATATTGTGCAAAGCATATGTTCAATATCAATGGGGCTGGGGTAAATAGCTCAGTGGTACAGTACTCAGTTGCATACTTAAAGCACTGGGTCCATTCCTGGGCAACACCCATACACACCCCAACACACACACACACACACACACACACACACACCAGAAAGAGACAGATAATGTATAACATCCCTAATATTTGGCAATCAAATAGCATAACTCTAAATAATCCATGAGTCAAAGATACAAATAGAATTTTTAAAAACTTAGACTAGATAGATGATATAAGTAAAATCATATAGTGTTGAGAAGAACATGTGTAGCATTGAATGTTTCTATTAGAAACAAAAGAGATTTAAAATAATTAACCTGAGCATTGACATTGAAAAAAAGAAAAAATTCAATCTGTGTCAAAATATAACAAATATTAAACTCAGAATCAGTAAAATAAGATAAAAGAAAATGGATTAAAAAAATTCAATATGAACCTGGATATTTAAAAAAAACGTAATTGTTAAATTCCTAACCATACTGATTGAAGAGGGGGGCAAAAATTGTTAGTATCAGGAATAAAAGAAGAGGCACCTTCAATGCCGCCATACATATTAACAAGGAAATGATATAATACTACATAACTCTTGATCCCCAAATTTGACAATTTATGTAAAACAGATAAATTCCTGGAAATAGATTTTCTATTAGTTATTTGAAATGAAATGGAAACTTGAACTGGCAACTCTTCTTCCTAGGCCTAATAATTGGGATTATAGTTATGTGATCACAAATCATGTGTCACCATGTATTGCCTGTGTCTAATTTTTAAATTAATTTCTTATTTTGAATAAATAATGTGTGAAGTTATATATGTATATATATATATATATACATATATAACTTCACACATTATATATATACATATATGTATATATATATATATATATATATATATATATATATACATACATATATACATACACATATGTGTAAAGAAAATGTAATCAATTTGCTTTAATATGTATGAATAAGTACACATACCTTACTAAAAGGTCCCCGTAGTGAAAGTAGAGTTTCATACTTGTACTGGCGGGTGGGTTCCTCAGAAGCAGCAAGCCTCTGCAGCCAAGCAGCTCTGGGTAGCAGGCTCTGCCCACCCATGTTCCAACAGACCACAGCAGCTCACCACCAATCTTCTCCAGGTTACCGGTGTTTGGAATCCAAGAGAGGAAGTCCAGCCTCTAAGACACTATGGCAACTAGCCACAGAACTTTGCGCAGGTAGAGGTATATATATATATATACCTCTTGGGTCAATGCCATTGGTTCACGTTTATGCTAATAAGGGTTTGGAAAAAGTTGCAACACTATTGGTCCAAATTTATGAAGGTTCCGTGACACCACGCCCCCTGAGGGGAAAACGGAAGTGAGAGCACCTGAGCTACCCAATAGCGTGTGTCTATTGCCAAAGGACCATTAGCTCAGAGGCCATCACTTCCTTGCAGCGTCCAGAGCGCGGGAGCCACCACAGGAGCAGGGGCAGGAGCCAGCTTCGTCGCGTGGGAGCCGCTGGAGCCGCAGGACCAGAGCTGCTGTTGCAGAAGCCCCCAAGGCCTCCGCCAACGCTGCCTCAGGAGCCAAAGCCGCCGCCAGAGCCAATGCAGAAACCAACGCCACCGCCGCCCTAAGCCAATGTTGTGGCCTTGAGACCACAGCAACCTTAAACGCCACGTCTAAAACATAGGAGCCGCTGCCACCATCGTTGCCGCTGCCGCCGCAGCTGTTGCCAATGCAGCTGCAAGACCTTGGAGCCTCTGCCGCCGCTGCTGGAGCACAAGAACCGTGGTAGACAATGCCAGCTGGGGAGAAGGAGCCACTGCCGCCAGAACACGAAGCCGCCGCCCCCAGGTCCAACAACTGCTGGAGACAACGCTGCGCCAGGAGCACGGGAGTCACCGCTCCCAGAGCACAGGAACCATTGGAGCCTTCAGCGTGTCCAGATCATGGGAACCGCTTCCCTCGCTCCGCTGTCACTGCAGTCGCCCACCAGCTGGAGACACTGTCACTGCCGCCCCCACTGCAGCCAGGACACGGAGCTGCTACCGGAGCCAACCCCCCTGCCCAGAGCCAATGTTGACACCTCCACCAGAGCACAGGAAGGGCCAGAGCGCGGGAGGAAACGCTGCTACTGTCTCCCTCTTCTGGACACCAGAGCCACCTGCCGCCGCCACCACGTGCAGAGCACAAGAGCCAAAGCCGCCATCGCCATTCTTAGCGATTAAGGAGCCGCCGCCGGCATCACCTAATCGCTGGAGCCACGACGCCACCTTCTCGGACTCCAGGAACAGGAGCCGCTGCCAGAGCACAGGAGCCACTGAACGCTGGAGCCACGGCCGGCCTCGGTGAGTTCAGAGCTGCCCAGGACAGGACCCATTCCAAAAGGACGCTGCGCAAGGCTTGGCCATGGCCGTTAGGCAGCGGGAAGGACAGCCTCCGTCACTCCCACCGCGAGTTCACCCGCGCATTCCTGGCTGCTCCCCCAGGGGCAGAAACCCAGCAGAAGATGTGGAGCACCTTGAAGAAGGAGGTACTGGGACCCACTCGGGGAGGGTGCAGGCTCTTTGGGTGGGGTGCAGCGGCTTTTCTAGAGGTGCTCCTTGGCAGCAGGAGCCGCCACTTTAGAGGGCAGCTCATCTATTGGAGGCTTCTACCTCTACAGGGCTGGAGGTGTGGCCTGCGAGTTTGGGGGTTGTGGGGTAGAGGCAAAGGGATATCGCTGGTGTCGGTAAGCTGTGTTAAGGGGCAGGTGCCCTGTGAGGATCATTTAGGTGGAGGGCATACCTTAAAGTGTCTGGGTGGAGGAACAGGTGTGTGGGTCTCAGTGAGGGGATCTTAAAAGAGAGACAAGCTCCTGGGGACAGGCAGGCCTGTTGGGGGGTTGATGTTGAAAGGGGTTTCCAAAATGGTCCTACCCTGCTGCAGCAATGGAAGAGGTTCAGTTTGGGGACATAAAGACTCCCTCAGGCACCTCCACATACTCAGTCCTTGGAGCGACCTCCAGGAGCCAAGAGGCCCCCCTCCCTGAGAGTTCCAGGTCAGACTCTGTGGACTTCTCCCTGGCAGGCAGGGTCTTCTCATCCCTATCTAACCACACAGGAGGATGACAGACAGGCTTCTGCTGCTCCTCTGCCTTTTCACTCTCCTTAGGCCCACCTGGAGCTTATTCGTGTTCAAAAAAGCGATTTGAAAAATGACTTGAAAGAATATCCATTTTTTTCTTAGAACTATAAATGTCTAGTATGTATTAAACATTAGCTTTTGTGCCAGAAAATCAGTTGTTTAATTGTGGAAACAGTATACCACAAGTGTGTATATTTTATTTAGCAAGTAAAAGTTAAATTGATAATCATGCAGTGAAAATAAAAACAATGATAATATCAAAATCATCCAGTTTCATTGGTAATAATAATGAAAATAAAGATAACATCAAAATAATCTAATAGGAATTATGCAAAGTGTTTTAATGTTGTAACTTCACTACAATATTATTGACTTTCATTTTCATTTTAGAAAGTGATGTCCGAAGACCCTGAGAGACTTGCCTAAGTCACAGAGCTGGAATATGGAAAGCTTCTCTCACTCCAGGGATCACAGTGTACAAAAGAAATTTGTGTACCTTATGAAGTTTTTCTTGTTGTTGGAAATAGGTATGTAAAGTTTTCCTAGCATTAAATTATGACAGGAATATAAAAGGGTAGTGGGATGGGGCACATGTTTATGGGTAGATGGGCTTTTCTGGTCTTGACAGCTCAGCCCAGGGAAGGGTGCCCTAGCAAACCTCTGAGTAACCACAGAGACCTGCACCTGTTTGGAAAATGCAGCAATACACGTAGGCCCTGGAAATAATTATAGCAATTTATTGTGTTACAAGAATGGTTATGAAAGTGACTGACCTTAGAGAACACAGGGGGAAGCTATTGGGACTGTCTGGAGCTGGATGTGTCACACTGTTAAGGTAGTGAGAAGGACAGAAAGTGCAGCTGTGTCTGGAAAGCTTGGAGGATTTCTTCCTGTGGGAGTTCTTTAGAAGTGAAAGTGCTTGAAATTGTCAACAGCATTATAGTCTATGAATCGGAGGTAATTGTTCTTAGAGACAACTGCAATTCTGGTTTTGCTTATTTGCAAAAGACCTTTTTTCCTTGGAGTATGTAGAAGGCATCACATATTTTACTACTCTACATTGTATTCTGGAGTGCCTGATTTGTGGAAGTCATTGTGAACCATCTGTTTAAGAAAAGTTTATTTCAAAACCGAATTTGCAGTAAATTCTAAATGTCGTTTAAAGTTTTTCATCTGTAGACTTAAAAAGTCACTTCAACCTAGGCATGGTGGTACACCCTTGTAATCCTACTACTCAGGAGTCTCAGGAAAGATGATTGCAAGTCCAAAACCAGCCTCCCCAATTTAGAAAGACTATGTTTCAAAATGAAATAAAAAGGGGATTTGGGGTGTAGCTCAGCAGTAGAGGATGTGTTTGTGCTAGGCCCCAGATTCAATCTCTATACTGTGTAGCAAAACAAAACAAATTACTTTTATTTGCAGCAAAATGATTTGATGTGAAAAATTTTGAAGACAAAGATGATATAATTTTGTTATTTTCTCCAATATCTTACTGTTTGGGTTATCTATTTCTTTGTATGTATAAAAATGCTGGAATATTAATAAGATGTATAGTGGGTAAATCTTAAAATACCAGTGGCTATAAAGTCTGTAATGTAAATATCTTTGTAATAGATTGAAGCCCCTGGGTTATTAGAGGTATCTGGATAATAGATTGAAGGTCCTGGATAAAGTTCTGATTTCTGTCATGAAAATTGGACACAGAAATCATTGAGGTGATATGTGACAGATGCATGTGCAGTGACTGATGGGAATGTTGCTTTAATGCAAATTGTTTATTGCTGTTTTGCATAGCTTAATGAACTACAAATTGCTACTGACGGACAATATATTCAGCATGTCAGTGATTATTTTTTATGAATGTTTGTGTATTTTCAGACTTTACAGCCACCTCTAAAGATCCAGAAGTAATCACTTAATTTAACCATGTTAAAAATCAAATTGAGCTGGGCATGGTGGTGCATACCTATAATCCTAGCACCTGGGGAGAATGAGGCAGGAGAATCAAGAGTTTAAAGCCAGCCTCAGCAACAGCGAAGTGCTAAGCACCTCAGTGAGACCCTGTGTCTAAATAAAATACAAAATAGTGCTTAGTGGATGAGTGCCCCTGAGTTCAATCCCAGATTACCCTCCCCTCAAAAAAATCAATTTGAAAAGGATACACTATTCTTTATAAAATATTTTCTGTATAGAATTTTTCCTAATTTGTTTCCTGTAACTTACCTTGTATAAGTTCAACTATCAAAAACCAAATAGTCCAATTATATAAGAGGACATCCATGATCACATTGCTTCTTTTTATGATTTGATAGCTTTATAAGGTAATATAGTAGGAAAACTAATAAGTATAAGTGTGTAATTATGGAGAAGGCGACTTCATGAAACAAATAGACTGAAAGAGCTCTTATGTCAGCTCCACTACTTTTAATGAAAAGATTGTGATGCTGTTATCATGATGGATAATCTGAGAGACACAACCGGTGACACATTCTTGACAGAAGTCACTAAAATAAATAAGATAGAACCAATGGGTTGCTTATGAGTGATAAGTAATGTGTAGTCTTACCAATTGCATCCTTTGGAAAATGCTGAGGTATGATAAATGAGACTTTTCACTATGGACTATTCTAATATAAATATGACTAAATGTACAGTTTTCTCAATTCCAGTGTTTAAATATTCCTTAGTAGTTTCATTAGGCTCTATGTGTATCTCAAACATGGATTGATATATTTTGAAGGATTTTAAACTGTTTGAAGCTATGTACTTTTTTTTGCTCTATAATGAACATATAACAACTTGACTGCCTGAGTCTTAAAAACAATGTGCATTTGTTGGAATTCTTTTCAAAATGAAATCTTATACTTAGTCCATCAGTTTAAGCTATGTTAACTGAACAGTAACACTTTCATGTTTTGGAAATGTGTAATATTATTTGAGGGCTTTATCATATTTTAAGGAACAAAACATTATAGGATTAAATATAATCTTCCTAGATGATAAAATAAGAGTATTTCCAGAAATCTTATTGCAAAAATTCTTTCCTTGATTTTTATCTTGTTTCATTTGAAAATAAAGCAGATTCTCCAAACTTGTTACTACCTGCTGTGTGCAGAATAATATGCTGGTTGGACAGCCCCCCTGGGAGGTAGAGTGAGTCCAGATGCCTCTTTGCTTGTGTATTTCATTCCTAGAGTCCATTTGTTACAGGTCTTTATTGTGTTTCCAAAGTGGTCAACCATCTTGAATTCAGTTCTTATCTTCAGTGGAGTAAAATAAGATATTAATACATTTGACTTGTGAATAAGTAAAGCTAAAGAAATGAGTTCTCTCACTGAAGGTTGGCTGCATTTTATTCATGATTAAAATTCGTGATTCTCTAAACTGTGGGTTAGAGCTAAGGAAGTGGAAACTTGGAGAAGAAGGAATTTTGCTGGTCTATATTTGGAATCTGCATTTCTTTTGTTCAGAGGCAGTGGCATTACAAAAGAATAGAAATTCCCAAGGATTTTTCCAAGCAGAGAACACCATTTGGGAGACCATGTTGACAGTGTCTCAGTGTCTCTGGGTTCTGAGGGCAGAACCAGGCTGATGGTATCCTTCAGTTGGCTAAGTGGTTTCAGGTCCACTTGGAAGGAAGAATGGATTTGGCATCTCTGTGAAAGGTCTCATATGTCAGGTTTTTGGGAAATCTATGAAGTACTTGAGTGGGGTCTCTTGAAAACTGTGTGAGGTCTCTGTGTTGCTAGAGAAACTCTAGATAGAGCACAGGGGTGTGAGGGGAAGAGAGAGGCAGGGGGTTAACAAGGATGGTGGAATGTGATGGGCATCATTATCCAAAGTACATGTATGGAGATACAAATTGGTGTGAACATACTTTATATACAAACAGAGATATGAAAACTTGTTCTGTATATGTGTAATAAGAATTGTGATGCATTCTGCTGTCATTTCTTTCTTAAAACTCAATTAAGAAATTTTTAAAAAGAGAGAAAAATTACACTGAATAGTGGGTTTTATGGTGGTGTATTTGTATATGTACCTTGTAAATTTTTTTTTTAGTTGTAGATGAACACAACACCTTTATTTTATTTATTTTTATGTGGTGCTGAGGATCAAACCCAGTGCCTCATATATGCAAGGCAAGAACTCCACCCCTGAGCTACAACCCAAGCCCATGTACCTTGCAAAATGTGATAGATTTAAATACTTAGTACCCCCTTGTCCTCCCTTGCTCCATTTCCTCATTCCCTTTCTCTACCTTACTGCTCTTCCTTCTATTTTCAGGAGATCCCATTTTTCTTGCTAAATTCCACATTTGAGAAAAAACATGGTTCTTGATTTTCTGAGTCTACCTTATTTTGTCTAACACAGTGTTCTCCAGTTCCATCCATTTACCTGCAAATGACATAATTTTGTGATTCTTTATGCCTGAATTAAATTCCATTGTGTCAGTATATCACATTTCCTTTATCCATTCATCTATAGACTGATACCTAGACTGGTTCCATAAATTGGTAATTCATACGATAATTCACAATAGTGAATATTGCTACTATAAACATGGAGAGGCATGTGTCACAGTTGTATGCTGATTTTAGTTCTTTGGATAGATACTGAGGAGTAAATGGTTATATTCGATGATGGTGGTTCCTGTAGGTATTTCTGACAGTGGAAATAGGGAAGCATTCTCCCAGTGAGCAAATTCCCAGGAGGTAACTGATTCCCATGATTGGAATGCCCAGCTATTCCCTGCTGAGGTTATTAAGATAGCTATGTGGATGCACTACTTGGTTTACATAGTGACATCCTTTGAAGGAGAGAGGCTATGTGTTTGCATTAACCTGGACCTTATCTTAGTTAGCTAGCACTCAGGGTTAAAGGAATACTGGTCAAAGTGTAATCACTGGTAGTGGGTAATATGTAACTTTTTGGGTTATTAAAGATGATGGCAGAGAGGGGTAGGCATTCCTTTGTTGCCATCCTTCTGTCTGTTCGTACCTTTCCCTGTGTGTCTGTGTCTGTCCTTTGTGCACCTCTTCCACAATTCTCCCCACACAGGTGTTCCTTTACAGGATCCAATCCTAGTCTTGGGGGGAATCTCCATAATGATTTCCATATTATCTGTACTAATATAGATACCTACAAATGATTTGGATGGTCCTTCCCCATCCCATTCTGCCAGCATTTATTGTTATTTGTATTTTTAATGGCTGTCAGTTTAAGTGGAGTGAAATGAAATCTCAGTGTAGTTTTGATTTCCATTATCCTGATGACTCTAGTTGTCAAACATTTTAAAAATAATTTTTGGCTGTTTGTACTTCTTCTTTTAAGAAATGTCTGTTTAACTTCTTTGCCCATTTATGGAATGCGTTTTTTTGGAGAAGTCCTTAATATTTACTGAGTTGGAGATGTCCTACTAAGTCATTATCTGTACCTATATGTTAGAGCTATTCCTTTTTTCTCTTCTATCAGTTGCAAAGTTTAAGGTCTTTTCCTAGGTCTTTGGTCCAATTGAGTTGACTTT